AAATGTCGTCATGATAGAAACTCGCAGGGGATCATTTAAAGCAGATTCCTGTAACGAGTGGATGTTGGCTATGATTCACCAGTGGGTTACATCCGGGAATCGTTTGGAGGATTTGGTCGTCGTAACAGATAATGCTCCTTGTCACGCTTGTTTGCAAAGGGAGTTTGATAATTCACCAGCTCATTGTTATGTTTGGGACCTTACAGTCCAATGTTGAACCCGGTGGAAACGGTCTGGTCCAAAATTAAAAGTAACGTTAAAAATGCAATTCGCATTCCACCTGTATTAGGTGACGGGATTGCGGAACAGCGCATGCAGTACTTAGAACGAATTGAAATTGAGGCAAAAAATACTATAATGGGAGGAGATTGTGCACGTGCGGTACAACACACAACCACGCACTATGCAACTATTTTAAATATGGAAGACGTACAAGTTGGTGCTTAAATGATCAATGAAGTGATTTTTAATTATATAATTTTTAATTATAATTTTTAATTGAATTATAAATTTTTCCCTAAAATGTTTTTAGTGTTTATTATGTTAAATTCATTTGCCCGAAAATTATAAATTTTTCCCTAAATTTTTCCCTAAAAAATTAAATTTACGCTACAAATCTTGCGTCATTTTTAAGTGCGTCATTTTATACGCTCCATTTTTTTACGCGCCATTTTTTTTAAGCGCCATTTTACACTTACTCCTTTAAAGCGATATCTAAATTAAAATTTTCGTGTTCTCAATTACATCTTTCTATTTCTTAATTACAACTTACATTTTCTCAATTACATGTTACGATTCTTAATTACAATTTTCGTTTTCTAAATTACATCTTATGTTTCTTAATTACAACTTACGTTTTCTCAATTACATCTTACGTTTCTTAATTACAACTTTTGTTTTCTCAATTACATCTTACGATTCTTAATTACAATTTTTGTTTTCTCAATTACATCTTGAAAAGGTGTAGTCGAGTTGGTGCCTACAACTGCTTCAGAGAAAATATACTTACATATTATATACTACATATAATATATGGCTTACAGAAAATGTTCAAAAAAAGAAAATAGCATGGTGGGTTAACATTATTAATTTATACAAGCTAAAACTAATGAGTGTCACTTGTTTGTAAGTTTTTGTAATGAAACATTTAGCTAATGTTTTATTACAAAATATTTATAATTACAAAAACTAATGATTTGCACCATTAAAAGTTCATCTAGACTTGCATAAAAATAAAAGAGCAAATACTTTTATTTTTTTAAGCATTGAATTTTTTGAACTTTCCGCAATGATTTATCTCCAAATATTTTATAGGCATACCTCAACAGTGTACTTAAAGTGTGTACACGAAATAAGTGTGAAAGTAGAAAAACAACTAAATAAAAGTACCCATCAACTTTTATTTAGAAATAAGTATTAATTTTACTACAAAAATAAAAGAAGATAAAATATTTCAAAGAAATTAATTAATTCCTGTGGGCATCTAATAAAATTTCGAACTTTTGTTTTGGTGGCACCCATAAGCTCGCGCACTAAACAACAATCAAAACTAATTGATACTTTTTTAAATGACATTTTCAAATCTTTAACGTTTCTGCTTAGCTTTTTTAATATTTTTTTATTTTTCAATTAATACTTACCTTTTTATTTTTTAATTTATACTATGCAATAATTTTTAATTCTAAGCAGTTTAGAAGATTTGCTATTTTAGACATAACTTTCATTCATTTTGTTTATACCATCCCATAGGCAGTTAGTTATAATGACATGATGATAAATCTGGAGAGAATACATATCTGCTATTATATGATATAGTAAGAGGTAAAACACATTTTTGTAAACACTTTTTAACATGTATTTTACCAGATAGAGTGGAATTAGAAATGTAGGGTGCTGATTTTTTGTCATACCTGGTAATATATAATTTTGTCATACCTGCAAGCTTATCATATACTGTGTATTTAAGTTTCTTATCTGCTTTTCCTCTATATTTGCGCATTACAATAGACAGAACCAGGATTTTGCTGATGATCGTACTTCATATAAGTTTTATATCTTCAATAATTTAGAAATTTTTAGAAATATACTTGTCATTTTTTCAGTGAGCTCTTGCACTTTTATTTTGAATTTCAGAACGGTTTTGTGATTTGAAAGCTTGAAAAACATGTTTATTTTGAACTTTTATAATCAAACTATGAGAAAACTTTTTTTTTTCATGTTCCTTTTGTGAGAGGGTTGGATTATTCATAAAACTGTTAACCAGTTTTATATCTTGTAAAACCTTCTTTCCACTATTACCAGATTTGTATTTAATCAATTTTATTTAGAAAAAACGTTAAATAACATGAATAGCTGTGTTGGGATTTATTTGCAACTTTTCTGCTAATGAATTGTAGCTTCTATTCGGATTTTCCAATTATTTGTGCAAAATATTTTTTCTAACATCTTCTTCTTTTGTCATTTTTAAAACTTATTTTAGGTTAAATAGGAAAACTAAAACATTTTTTTGAAATTGTTCTATGTTGCCTACAAAATACAGACACAATTAAAAATATATCATTAAACCACTGAAAAAAAATGACGTGTTTAATCTTTCACATTTTTTTCGTGCACTTTATATTATGCTTTATATTAGAAAATCTATATGGAAAACTATGGTATTGCTCAGGAGGAACTTGTTCCATTTCTGTCCAACAAGTTCATTCAAAAAAGTGACCATAAACTGTGACACAGAATATGGTAACTTTTTCAAGAACTTGTTTAAAACTGAACTTAAAGTTAATTTAAATTTAGTTAAAGTTTAAGAAAAGTTAAACAATATTGGTTCACATGAAATATCTCCACTCAAAAATGTAAGTAATTGTGAAAAATTAGGATGAGGATGCCAAAAAGTTAAAAAACTGGATACAATTATAACAACCCTAGTAGCATCAGCATTGGACATTGCTCAAAGCAAAAGTGCAAAAGCTGTAATGATTTAGATCAACCTTTAGATGCAAAAAAATAAAAAAAGTTTGGTTTGAAGAAAGAAAAAGTTCAGTTGCTCTAATTAACTCCTAATAGAAAATCAATTGAAAAAATTTCCGAAATATTTTCAGTTTAAGAACATCTCGTTAATAAAGCAAAAATCGAAAAAGGATACTTGCTAAACCTGAGGCTAAAAATAGGAAACCTTGAAAGATATTGTTAAATAAAATGTCATTGAAATTTATGAATGTGAAGAGTTCACAGGACAATGTCCAGAAAAAAAGAATTTGTTTCTGTGCGTACAAATAATATAAAAGTTTATAAACAAAAATAACTTATATTAGTTTGTTTAAGAAGTTATACCCAGAACACAAAGTTAGATTCAGTGTTGCACCACAGTTGACATTAGAGGAAGTTGCCCAGTTTTTGTATGTTCTTATCATCAAAATGCTAACTTGATCTACACTGCTTTACATAAGGGCAATTTAATATATTAAGAAGATTTGATGAAAGTATGTGTTTGTAATATTTCATCTATGTTCCAACTGCCTTGGTAAGGTAAATTTGAAGTTTTATTTAGAAAATGTGCTTGAAAAGAATGACTTTGATTTTGACAATTAGATCACATACAAACAAAAACTATCAGCTGAACAAACTGCACTTGTCACAGTCCAAGCAAGCATTTTTGAGCTTATCAAAATTCTAAGTGAAACTTTGTATGATTTTTGTCACCACCACTTTATCAAAGAAGCACAATCTTCCTACTTATCAGAAGCAAAAAGAATATTAGATTAACACATCTGTCTTATACTTATGGATTTTGCAGAGAACTATAGTTTTCTTGTGTAAGATGCTGTACAAGGGTTTTACAAAAAAAGCGGATCAATCACCTTACATCCATTTGCTGTTTATTACAAAGATCAAAAAGATCAACTTAAATGTGAATGCTATTGCATAATTTCTGACCATCTTTTTCATGAAGTTACAGCAGTTCATTATTTTCTTGCAATGTTGCTTCCTATGATCAAAACAAGCTACCTACAATCATTACAAAAAAAAATACTTCAGTGATTGTGCTGCCTCACAGTACAAAAATTAAAAATATTTATTAAACTTAATGTACTACCTTGAAGATTACAATATAAATGCAGAGCATCCTTTACTATGTCCCATGGCTAATGCCTATATGGTAGAATAGGAAGAACTATAACAAAAGTAGCAGAGAGTCTATCAGCAGCAATTGCAAATCAGATGATGCACAATTGAGTTGGTTTTTGTCAATTTGAAAAAGTAATATGTTAAATAAGTGCTCCATTCATTTAGGGTAGAAGTTATGTAAATCAGAGATAACGAAATTATTGTACTTTTGTTTCATGTGTATATACACTTCTTCTTTCAGCTTTTTTTACTTTTTATTTAACGTTTTTGAAGTATAACTTGCGTTATTTTTTAGATCTTTTTTAAACTAAAAAAGCGCATCACACTGAAAATTATAGAATATAGGTCTTAAAATTTTTTTTTTAGAATTGTCTAAATATAGAACTTCCACAATAAAAAGTTTCATAATTTATTTCAACTGTTTAGCTATTTTTTATGCCTGCAAAGTGAATATTATTTATCACATTTATAAAAAAAAGTAATATTTTAACAGGCTGCTGCATGTGTTAAACAACACATAATTTTGATTTTAACCTCAAGTGCTTACTCTAAGTATACAAAAGTAACAAAAAATCGGTACTGCCTGTTAGTAGGTATTGAATGGCAGCACATTAAATTTCCAAAGCTTTTTCTTGTTGCATTATTAGCAACTTTGAGGAACAGTAACTAAAAAATTATTCAAAATCAACTGCAAAAATATCGCTATACAAATTTTCAGGTGATCACCTTTTTTATTTACAAAGTTAAGGTCTGTCAAAAATAAAAAAAAATCTTCAATCTATAATATGAGTAGCTTCCTTAACTGTAGTTGCCCCCTCCCCTCCTGGTTTTAAGGAAAAGAATAAATTTAAAACTTTTTTGTTATCTGATTTCAGCTCTTCTGGCGGAGATGTAAAAGTAGAATTTTATACCACATGGGAATCGATTGAAAACGCAACGTTTTTATCTTTTGTAAATAGTGTGGAACTGTCGCGAGCTTTTACTTTAAAAGTAAACAATGATCCAGATAGTGTTGGCTATCTTTCCAATGGAAACTATGCAACTAACTGTAAAAACATTGAGTATTATTCAGCACGTAAGTTATGTATTTTAATTTTAATTACTTTTTTATATTTATTATAACAATAAATAATAATAAGTGGAAAAAGTAACAAAATTTTGTACAAAATTTTGTACTCAAGTAAAAGTACTGTTATTTAAGTGAAACTAAAGTACAAGTAAACGTGATCGGTCGAAAATTTTACTCAAGTAAAAGTAAAAAGTAGCTCGTTAAAAATGTACTCAAAGTAAAAGTTACCGCACTGAGTAACCTCCTGGATCCAGACAGATATGGAAGCTTTTATTCCTTCTTATTGGTTTTTAGTTCATTATAGTATTTATAGAAAAGAGAAAGAGAAGCAATATTATGACAATGTGATAATGTTTAAGGTTGGATGCAAGAGCAGGTCCAACTATGTTTACAATGCATTTTTGCATCTTGTTTAAAAGAGAAAGGGCATCACTCAAAGATCTGCTCAAGATATGGCAACTGTATTCCATGCAAAAATGGATTTGAGATTTATGGAGATAAAGAAGAGAATCCAGAGTAAAAAAGTGGTGTGCACAATAAAGAAATACAATCTTAGCAGTAGTATAATCAGCGAACAATGCCACCTTAAATGTGAGAATTTCTTGGTTATAATATATTAATATTGCTTCTCTTTCTCTTTTCTATAAATACTATAATGAACTTAAAACCAATAAGAAGGAATAAAAGCTTCCATATCTGTCTGGATCCAGGAGGTTACTCAGTGCGGTAACTTTTACTCTGAGTACATTTTTAACGAGCTACTTTTTACTGTGATATGAATGTCAAGCAATGGATCAACCTGTTTGTTGGCTATATAAAGAAGGATGTGATTAGTGGAATCAATAAATCAGATTGATAAAAGTTCATAGTAAACAATTCGGCTTTGTCTTTTGGTGAGGTAGCAAAATCTTTACCATTCAAGAGATATAGAATAACAGATTTGCTCTTATTATAGACACTAAAGATTCTCCAGAAGTCTCTGAAGTCTAATTTTTGAGATTTTGTGAGCTGAAAATAGCAGGCATTGGCATTAAACAAAACCTTTTTACAATAATTTTTAGCAATAGTAAACAGACCTCTGTTTTCTAAAGAATTGTTTTGGCCATAGATATGAAAGAAATGGTTACGATTGGAAAGTGCAGCAGCACAATAAGAGGAAAACCATGGAGAAAAGTGAGGCTTGACTCAGAATTGTCAACAGGGAGTAAAAGATTCCATGCCAGCCTGAATCAAAGATGTTACATAAGAAGCAGAAGCACATTAGTCAGCAGGAAAACCAAAGAGCCATCACAGAGGAAATCACAGAAAGAGTCCCAGTCAGCTTTATGGTAATTGTAAGAGGTGCGTTGATAGGGAGATTCTGATGATAAAGAAGAATGAGATAATAGTTTTTAAGAGATCAAACTTTGATCAGAAGCACCTAAGGATGAATATGGAGAAATTAAGCATTGACTAGGATCAGGAGCAAGACACAAGTCGAGTAGAGAAGGTAAATGATTCTGGTTGTCTGAAAAGCAAGTGGAAAGGTTAACTATTTGTGTTAGAGATTGTGAAAGGCAAAAGCTCTGGGTTATAATGCTTGCAGAGTCACTGACACTAGAAACAAGCCATTCAGTGTGATGAGCATTGATGTCACCAACAATAATGATATTGGGTTTGGGCTTGGTCAATTTGATTAAAAATAACATCGAAAAGAGTGCAGTCTTGAGATGGAGAGTGATATAGAACATAGAAAAAGGCGATTGAGTGAAGTAGTGCTAAACAAAAGCACATAAAAGAACAGTCTGTGGATTCAAAATTATTTTCTCAACAAATTGGTGAATTTTTATGAATGTAAATGCCCAGGCCAAGCATGTGACTATTGAAGTCTTTATGAATTGAAGAAAGATAGCCATCAGCACTAAGATCACAAGATGAGATAGCTGAACTCAAATAAGTCTCACAAAGAGCAAGTAGGTCTGGTCAACTTTGCAAATAATATAACTCAACAAAAAAAAAGTTACTTCAAAGACCACAAATATTAATGGTGATGGCAATGGTTTTTTGTGTTTTATAGTTTTTGATACTATATTCATTTTTAAAATTGGTTAAAGAACTTGAATCGAAGCACAGGTAGTACTCAGTGCACTATCTAATAGTCCAAGCCATTGCCTCATTACTACTAATGATTCCTAAGCCGTAACAAAGAGCTCCGAATGTGGCCTCAACAATGCACACTAAAAGTACAAACAGAGGCACCATCCATACGCAGCATGGCCCTGTTAGTACTCTAATATTTTACAGCTGTTGATGGAACCAGCCTCTCTGAAAGCTACCACACAGTTCAAGAAACCTGACTACCAGCCAACCTCAGAACCACAAAACTGAGTTTTAGCAGTGTACCCTCATAAGGAGATAAAAGAAGGAGTTGTCTACAGAGACAACTTGTTTACCGCTTTGGATTTGCTCTATCTGCTAAGCTTGAGTAACTCTCCCATCATCCATAATGTTGTCTTTTTTTTCTAAAAATACTATAATAATTGCAGCTCAAATAAGTTATCATCTCTAGCTCCATCAACTAGAATTTATTCTTGCTTGACTTGTCATTCAGTAAAGTTGCATCCTTTTACAATATCTATCCTCTCATGTTTTAAAAACTTATACTTATCTAGTTTTTTTCCTCACACACCTTCATGTTTTTCTGACACATACAACCAGTTTTTTTCCATCATTTCTTTGCTCTTAAACACTATTCTTTGTTTTCTAGTAACTCTTAATTTAATCCGGAATGATAATGACGCATGGGGTTTTAAAAATTCTTTTAAGAATCACTTAATTAAATTTGAAAATTTTTTGTTTTTGTTTTATAGCAAACTTAATTCCTATTTTAAGTAATGTAATTTGAAAAACTTGATTGTAAATATATAAAATGTATTTGCAAGTAGAAATAAAAAAAATTATTTTAGACGAGTGGATTAAAAACTGTAATCTTTAAATTCTAAAAATTGTAAAGTTCAAGGAAAACTGTCAGTCGTATCATCAAATCATGAAGTGAAGGCAATGAATTGGAAAGATTCCAGAAACAAAGATAGAGGTCCATCAAGTTTAATTGATTTAACTTGTTAAAAGTTAAAGTTCAGCTTGATCAAAAAAGTGATTAGGTGTATCAAGGCAAATACAGAGTATTCTGTTCGGGATGTCAAAGAAACCCAAGTGTTTCCAGTTTTTTTTTCTACAATTCAATTGATGATCCACCCATCTTCTGGCCTGATCTTGCATCTTGCCAACGTAATTGATGTCAACAAAATGGCATAGATTTTGTCCCAAAAAACTAAATTCCAGCAAACCTTCAACCTATTTTAAAAATTTGGGGAAATATAAAAGTATGCTACGTAAGATGGGCAAAATTGTGAATTGCATAAATCAGTTTTGTCAATTTTGGGCTGTGGCATAACAAAATTTTACGAAAACTGAAAAATATTATAATCAACTTGAAGATAATGTTTTAAAAAAAGCTTTACTGTATCTAGAGACAAATTTGCTTTTAAAAAAATATATTAAAATTGATTAAGTGATTTTTGAAATATTTCAAAATACCCATGGGTCGTTATCATTCCGGACAGTCTTTAATAGTGGTTACTTGCAGTCTTGATGGGAATGAATTAGTTTAAAATTAAAAAATGTATCCAAATGTTTACATTTCTATGTTTAGATCAAAAAATAAATTTAGATTCATACCATTTTTTTGTTTTTTCACTTGCTCAATTTTTCTATCATTGAAAGGCTGTTACAATATTACTGAAACAGATCATACACACAAAAACAAAAATTTTAAAATATTTTTTATATAAAAATAAAAAGTAATTTAAAAGATTTATCTTTGAATATTTGAGTAACAAGTATTAATCTTTTATATATTTTTTATTTTTTATGATTACAAGTTAATAAACAAAAATAAAAAAATAAAAAATGTCAGATAATTATTCAGTTAACATCAGGTTCAGTCAAAGTCATTTTCATTCCAAATTTTTGTTTAAAAGAGATCTGGTTAGGTAGTATACTGCCCACATTCCCTCCCTGTATCTGTGTCTATTTTGAAATACAAGAAATAGATTAGAAATATAGAGAAAAGATAAATTGAACTTGCATAGTGTAAAATACATTAATGAAATTAAAAAATTAAATTAAAAAGGTATTTATAAACTACGTTTATTTTATATTTTTATTTTTTGATGTTTGTTTTTTTTTAAAAAAATCCTAAATATTTTTAATGATTTTTTTTTGTAATCAATTACTAGTATATGTTTTATAAACAACTAATTTTTTCGGTCTTTTTATACTTAGCTTCCGTATGGTGCAGAGTCTCTGAATTTTATAAAGACAAAATTATTAAAGGTGGTTCTTTTATGTTTAACAACCAATGTGTTATTAACTATGAAATTCAAGTGAGTTTTGAATATTTTCAAGTTTTTTCTTCATTTGTAATTGATTACATTCTTGTTGAAAATACTTGAAGAAAGTTATCAAGTTTATTAAATTCTCAGAAATGTTTCATTTGTTTCTTTCTTTCAATATAAGTATTTAGTTTATTTTCTCAATTCCAAAGTATTTTTTACTGGTCTTTTTTTCATGATAGCTGTGGTTTTCTAAAAACACTTAAAATATTTCATCTTACTTTGATAGTTTTATAAGAATAAAAATATCTATCCTCTCATGTTTTAAAAACTTATACTTATCTAGTTTTTTTCCTCACACACCTTCATGTTTTTCTGACACATACAACCAGTTTTTTTCCATCATTATCTTTCAATATAAGTATTTAGTTTATTTTCTCAATTCCAAAGTATTTTTTACTGGTCTTTTTTTCATGATAGCTGTGGTTTTCTAAAAACACTTAAAATATTTCATCTTACTTTGATAGTTTTATAAGAATAAAGATATCTATCCTCTCATGTTTTAAAAACTTATACTTATCTAGTTTTTTTAAAATTATTTAGTTTATTTTCTCAATTCCAAAGTATTTTTTACTGGTCTTTTTTTCATGATAGCTGTGGTTTTCTAAAAACACTTAAAATATTTCATCTTACTTTGATAGTTTTATAAGAATAAAAATTTGATAATTTCATGATTCTGAAAATAGCATTTATCTTTTTTTTTTATTTTATCTTTTTTTTAAATATGCTATACTATATTTAATATACTATACTTAATGAAAAACTATATTATTTGTTAATTTTAGAATAAAAAATTTATAAACATGTGGAAACCTTCTTCTGCTGATATTCATTTTAGAAAGCAGTGCATAACACTACAGAAAAAATTAAATTACAATGATTCAATCAAAGTAATCGTTTATAATATTTTTTCCTTTTTTTAAGTATTAATTGTTATGAATGTTACCATCATTATGATAATTATTGTTATTATTATTATTATTATTGTTATCATCATCATTGTTAGTCAACAGGGCCGGTCATCTATTTTTGAGGGCCTGGTTATGTTAATACTTACAGACTACTTGAATTTTAACATAAATATAAAACTTTATTTAAAAGATCTTGACCACTAATCACAACAGACTTTTTACAAAGTTCATTTACCTAGTCTTAAATCTGGTGCTGAGTGCATTTGTCATTATCAACAAGATAATAAAAAGTTTGATAACTGCTTGCAATATCTGTCAAAAATTTAAAATTTTCATTTAATAGAGAAATCAAAGTATCGGATAGAACCAAGAAATTTTATAACGTATCTTAGTATCTTTGGAAATTTTGTCAAACATCAATTTTATCAAAAAATGATTTCTTTTAATTGTGTGATAAACAGGAAATGTAGGACTGGCACCTAATTCTATAACAATGTTTTTAACTTTTTCTAAAGAATTTTAAAATAAACTCTTTAATTAGTAAAAAAGTCAATTAGTAAAAAAGTAAAAAAAAAAATCTTTTGTAATAATTTTATTATTTAATACTTAAAACATTCTACCAAACAAAAAGAGAATTTATAAAGATTAGAAATTATAAAAGCTGAATATTCTTTAATAAATTGTTTATTTTGGAAACAATCTGAAAAATTGTTTAGAATTTCTTGAGAGCTTCTGCGTTTTTTCGAGATTTCTTTTATTTGAATATGCAGTACTTTTATTGAATCAATATGTGCTTCTCATCTTGTCATACTAATGGTTTCTCTGTTATTTTCACATCTTTTTTTAGTATTGCCCAACGCTTTGTTGAATCCGAAAATAATGTAAAAAAATATACTCTTTGAAGAATTCTGAACGAAGTTTTTGATTGAATTTTTTCCAGCAGCTGCATCACATAGAAGCAAATTAAAATTGTGAGCTAATCACTTATTACAAAATTTAATATTTGCCAGTTATTCATTTAATTTATACTTTTGTTTTGATCCTCATGTGACAATTTTTATTCTTAGTGTATTTGTAGTTGGTTTATTTAGCTGGATCATCTAATAATAATTTATCAGGGACATCTTTCACTATTTTTGATGTTAATGGAACATTGCATTGCACCCACTGCACCCCCTTAAAAAATTGTTGTCCAAACTATGGGTTCTAGAATTTCTATTTATGTTTGAACTAAAAATTTAGAATTTCTAGAATATTTCACTCTGCCAATTTTGAATCCTGTTTCCTGTAATACTAAAAGGTTTCTCACTATTATAACATAGACTCCTGGGCTCTTGAGTTTAATAATTTTTTTCCTTCCTAAAGGAATTCTGCAACCTCAGAGTTCAGGTAAAAATAGAGAGTTAATGATTCTGAGCCATGCAGTTTTTTACTCTGGGAGTTCATGTTTCTGAAAAAATTGTGTGCAGCCTTTATGTATTAACATGTGTACTTTATTTTTAATTATGTTATTAATAAAATATAATATACTATTATATGAATATAATATTCAGTGAAAAACATTGAGTATTAATGATTCTCTTAAAATGTTTCTGTTATTTTAGATGAAATATCAGTTTTTGTTTAATTCCTCTTGCACACAATCATGTTTACAAAATTTCTATAAAGTAAGTAAAATGTACTTTTAAAAGTTCTTTAAACTTTGGTATATAAATGGTGGTTAAGAGTTAATTAAACTATGCTTATATATATTTTTTTATGTATATATAAAAAGTACTGGCCAAAATTATAGTACAAATGTAAAATAAAAATTGAATGATAAAAATTTAATGGAGGGTTGATAGAAAAGTTATAATTATTATTTTTATCTGAAGAAAAACATTTTATATTTTACAAAAATGAATGAAAATTAAAAATACATTTAAAATTCACTTAGAAATAATACAGAAAAATAAGCAGGTCAAAATTATAATATATGGTTCTAAGTTTTGGTTAAAAAAAATAGAATTTGATTTAATATAAAGAAATGTTGGATCCTTTAGCTCTAAAATTTTGAGAAAAATGATATGGAACAGAATTTACCAATTTAATGCAAAGATCAGTTGAAGTCTTGTCATTTATGTTGCTTATGTTGTAATTTTTGAGTTTTTGGTCAATAATTGACTTTTTGGTTAATAATTGACTTTTTGGTCAATAATTGACAATAATTTTAGATCCGATTTGCATCTGGCAAAGTGGCTGGCCATTCTAAGAGCTGAATATTCTTTGGTGCAAACCATTCCAGAGTTTTTTTTTGTCACGGTGGGTTGTCTTGCATAAAATAGCATATAGTCCATATAATCATATAAATGTGATTTGTCGCTAAATACCTCATGAGGCCAATGATATCGTATCTAATTAAGATTCTTTTTCTGAGACTTATTTCAATAACAACGTCCTTTATGTGTTAAATTTTTCAACCTTTTTTCTAACAAACAACCCTTGCTATAATAGTTTTTTTCTTTTTTCAACTCCATAGCAATTTTTCTACTTATCATTAAAAAATTTTTTAGCAAGTGTCACTATATAGAAGAATTGCATTTAATTCTGTAGAATTAGTGCATGCTTTGCATCTATGACCTCCTTGACGTGGTCAATTTTTCATTGATAAATTCAATTTAATTTTATCAGAAATATTATAGACAAATTTTTTGGAAGCTTTAGCACATTTAGCAGTGTCAGCAATTGTTGTTGAGCAGTGTCATTTAATTGTTGTTGAGGTAAGTTTTATACAAGTTATCACCGCTCAGAGCTCACTACTTTGCGACCAATTGCATAAAGGTTTGTTTTAATTTTAAAATTACTAAAAAAACTTTAAAAAATTATAAGATTTGCTTTTTTAAATAATTAAGTATGGTCTAGTAGATAAATAAAATATCATACACAACAATTTGTCAATGCATTTAATTATACACACTGTCAAAATTACGTATGAATGTGAGTGTGCTACAAATTTGACCAACATTTATTGTATATGTTTGTAAAATTGTTTTTTTCTAAGATGAATAATGAACCAATTTTTTATTTTATGTGCACATTTTAAATGACTAATGTAAACGCAATTTAAAAATACCTCTTAACAATATAATTAATGCATACAAAAATTTTTATCTTATTTTAAGAGGTTGTGCTATAATTTTGACTACTTTATATATATATATATATATATATATATATATATATATATATATATATATATATATATATATATATATATATATATATATATATATATAATTATTGTATTAGTTTATATAATTATTGTATTAGTAATAATTTTAGTTTTTTTATGGTCTTTATCTTTATAAGTACCTTTTAAAATTATCTAAAGTATCTTTAAATTTAGCCATTGATATACGCAGTCTCTCCATATAAAAGAGTTTATAAGAGTTTTCTAATAATGGCAGTATTCATTTCATATATATCTACCAATGAATGTATTTAAGTATGCCCCATTCTAAGAGTGTCTTTAAAATTTTTCTTTTCTCAAAAAGATCCTGTAGTTATAGTATATATAGTCTTTTAAAGACAATTTAAAAAGTAAGTCAAGCTTTTAAACATGCTTTGCAAATTAACGTTGAAGTGAAAAAATTACAATTTTTTTTATAATAAAAATTATTGCTAGAGTTATTTGTCACTTTCAAATTCAAATTTTACTCACTCAATGCTTTCAATCTTTATTTTTAACAAAAATTATTTTTTTGATGCAAATCTCTATTTGATGCAAATCTCTTTTAAATTTTCTAAGATTAAATTTGAATCTTTTGCTAGGGATTTTAGAAAAGACATCAATTTTTAATTTTAGAAAAAGCATCAATTTTTAATTGTCTTTTTGAGGATAACCTAATATTAATTTCATTTTTAAATGTCTATTTAACTCATAACATATTGTTATGAGTTATTTAGAACATATTATATAACTTTCATATTATTGTTCTATATAACATTTTAGTATAATACTCATAACATTTTATTTTATACTTTATTTAAGTTATACATTAATACATTTTATTTATATTCACTTCTTCACGTAAATAAATAAGTTTAGTTCTCTCTTGAGAATATTCTTATTGCATCCTCAAAATGTTTTCCTGTCTTTTAATGTAATACTTTTAATGTAATAATGTAATACCTAAAATCATATTTTTAAGTTTGTATTAGTTATTTTAATTTATTTCTACCATTATAACTTCTATTTCTGACTTTATCAAGTTATTTTAATATTTAAAGAAATCATTGGATTCCGATGTTTTGAAAGGAAATTGTTGAATCCTATGTGATTAATAGTATTTTAAGACCATCTTTTTTTTCATTGTAAACATTAGGCTGCGCCTATTAAATTTTTATTTTTTTAACTGATTTTAGGTTGAGTTTGAAACAAATGGGATAGCTCTTGTTTCTAAATTAGTTGTTGGAAAGTAAGGTTTACATTTTCATTCATTTTGAACATTTTTGTGTACATGTTAAATGTTTCTCTTAACATTTAACATGTACACATGTTAAAATAATTTTTTACATGTTAAGTCTTTAATGAATATTTTGTTTGTTTGTTTGTGTTTTTGTTACATATTAAAATAATTTTTAACAAGCAACCAGTCTTGTTTAGACCAGTCCAGCTGTCTAATCAGGTAGACAGGAAAAGGAAGGGTTGCAGGTTGCTAATCATTACGAATCTAAAAAGATCCAGAGGAGTAGTGAGGCATTGTTCTAGATGGAAAAATAGATTCTATGTTAGAGAGGGAGACATAATGAGCACTATGAACATTCTATATAAGTGGTTATAATTTTGCATATGTGACATGTTGTGTCCATATGCTTACTGGTGTAATGATTACTACCGTAACCCAATAAAATAAAATAGTAAATAAGATATTAAAAAGTTTGAACCCAAACATGTTTGCGAACATTAAATTGCTTTTCCTGTGATACAACATGCTAAACCTTTGTGTTGCTGTGTCAATAAATGTCATGATAAAAAATTATATAAAATACTGTATTCTTGATCATAATGAAATAAACTAAATAGGCTAGTATAAAGTAAAAATATCAAATACCACCTGTGGAGTAATATAATAAATAATGACTAAATACAGTGTCCATAATCATTAATAACCATATATGTCTATAAACATAGCCATAAACCATTTGCTGCGCCTATGATTAAATCAGTGACGTATAAATTTTATTCTATCAGTATAATCTATCAGTAATGTATATAGCATAATCTATCAGTAATGTATATAGTATAATCTATCAGTAATGTATATAGTATGATCTATCAGTAATGTATATAGTATAATCTATAAGTAATGTATATAATATAATCTATCAGTGATGTATAATCTTTTTGTGAGTCACAAATTTGTTATCCCAAATTTGTACTTGTTATACTTTAGTTCCCAATTTAAATATTGAATTGGTCTTTTCACAATATGTAAGTTTGAAATTGGTAATATCTTACAGTTCAAACATTTACAAGATCTTGTTTTGCATTAGTGTTAACATTTCAGAATTCGAATTTATTTATGAATTCATCATTGCTAGGTTACTTTTATGGGCTTGTTATCTTTTATATCAAAGGTCTCGGTATTACTTTTTTTCATGATTTTGCAATATAGAGATGCATATGAAAAGCTTTTAGCATTTTTACTGCTTTTAATATATACACATACAATATCATGCCAAATCAACACACAGCAATCAAAATATATAAGTTCAATAGATTTGCATCATCAGGTGCTTAGTTTGGTTTACCTATGTGGCTTCTATATGGCAAATAGCCGGAGGAAGTTGAACCATAATACCACTGAATAATGATTAATATATTAATTGATCAAATGCTCAATAATTAAAAATTGATCAATAATTATTTGTATTTATTTTAGATTAATGTTACGTAAAATGTTATGTAAAAATAGTGGACATTTTGTACATAATATAAGAAATCTCGTTTAAGTTACAACATGTAATGTAACTTTAAAATGTTATAGGGGATACTTGTTTAAGTTGTTGTGTGTGTAATGCAAGTTAAACAAGGAACACACTATAAATATAAATGAAAAATTGGTTATCCATACTTTTTATTGTAGTTTTGTCTAAAAAAATTAAAATTCCATGACATAGTTAATGACATAATTACTAAAAATGACATAATTACTAAAAAAGTTTGCCACAAACTGTGAAGATTTTATGTCAAATGCAGGTGTTTAGCTTAATTTATGAAATTTAAAATTTTTGCAAAAATTAACAAGTAAATCAACTTTTACAATTATCTTTTTAAAATTAGACAGTTATAACTAAACATATCTAAAAACCCCAGCTTTGTATCTCAATTGTTTCTTTTGGCTTTCAAGATCAAGAAATCTTTTTCTTTATGATTTTGAGGATTTTTCTTGTTTCTTGTGTTTCATATGTGTTATTTGAAGAATATCTTGTTTTTCATTTTTTGCAGCTGTTACAAAATCATCAGATATAAATGATGAATAAACTTCTCTGACGCTATTACATGCATTAAATGTATATATAAAATGTAAGACTGCAGAGTATACTGTCATTTCAAAAACTTCTCTAACTAAACTGATTTTGGACACTTTTGTAAAACTAATGAATTAATGTATTAGCATTTTAAGTTTATCTATGAAGATATTTTATTAGAAAGGTGTCAGCAGGCAAATCAAAAAATATTGGTTTGTACCATAATAAATCTATGTTCCTATACAGAGGCGATTTAAGGGGGTGGGTTGTTAGGTGTTGGTGGTTTTTTAAGTTATAGTCGGTTTTTTTACTAATTTAGTTGGCTGGTCAGCAGTTTGATACTATTCAGTTGGTTAAATTTTCGTGTTGAGGACTTTTTTTTTTTTTTAAGAAGCTAGTCAATACTTTATACGAATAAAATGAGGATTCACCCCTCCTCATTTTATTGTAGAATTGCCTCTGTTCCTATATACCTGTATTTAGGAAGTTTCTTTTATTTTATCATATTGCCACTTAACACATGATGTTTACAGGCCGAGAGTAAAATGAAGGAGCATAGCAAAAGGCTTTTTCTTTAAGTGGTGACATGTCTATATTTTTGATAAAAAATATTTGTTGACTAATAAAGAATAGCAATAACTGTTTTTTTCATAGCATAGATGTTTTTTTCATAGCATAGATGTTTTTTTCATAGCATAGATGTTTTTATCCAAAAAATCTGAAAAAGAAAAAAAACTGTATCTTTGTACTTTTATATAACTGAACTGTGAATTCTTGTTCCCGTTCGCATTCTAAGCATGTCCAACACATTTAATCGCATTCTAAGCATGTCCAACACATTTAAGCTTTTTTGGTACCATAAGACTAGTATTGCTCAGAATAAATAACTTCTATAATAAATAATAAAATAATAAATAATAATTTCTAATAAATAATTTCTTTATAATAGGTTTTATAATAGGAATTTGAATCACCATCACCATGATATCTATTATGAAAAAATTTTTAAAACAACTCACTAGAATGGAATGAAAATGTTTAAAGCAAAGTACATCTAGATCATCACAATTGTCTGCAATAATTCCAGACATGTCACCACTTAAAGAAAAAGCCTTTTGCTATGCTCCTTCAATTTTGACACTATGTTCATAAAATAAATATATAAATTTAAAATGAAACTCAAAATATCTCAAAGAACACAGCTAAAACCTTTAAATTTTTGTGTTCAAAATATGCTTTTGTTACTTTGCAACATGGCTTAAAGTGTTCTTAATTTGCATGAACACTTTAAACTGTGTGTGTTTTGGGCTCTTGATTTATAGCTCAAGGGGTTATAGATCACTGGTGCCCCATTGGGTGAAATCAATCAGGGCCATAGATCATAGGCCAAAATAGATCAAACAAATAGATTGGAAAACCTTAGGAATAATTTTTTTTTTTTTTTAGTTCATTGAGAAATAACAGTCTGGATTTGAACTTTACTGTCATCTTTAAGAAATGGACATTTCCGTTTGTTGAAGTGTTCTGCAATGCATATGCATACTGTGACTTTCCTTACAATGGTACTACTCTAGAAATATTAATGGAAATCCAAGATTACAATAAATATAACAGTGGTAGGTTGTTTTTTTTTTCAGTAAATTGTTTATATGGGTAAGATATTTACTTTGATAAAATCTAGATTATTATATGGGTTTAAATTATTATTATTATTATTATTATTATTATTATTATTGCTATTATTGTTATTATTATTATTATTATTATTATTATTATTATTATTATTATTATTATTATTATTATTATTATTATTATTATTATTATTATTATTGCTATATGGGTTAAAGAAGGTATGTGGAAGTATTTTATAAATTAATTTAAAAATATTTGCTTTTGAATATTTGAACAAATTAATGAATTGAACAAATAAAAAATAAAGATCATTTCTAAAGAATTTCTTATTTTTCATTTACTAATACCACACTAATGAGCTTTTAGTTGATTTAATTGCAAGTTAATAATATGGACACAGGCATTTGGTATATTATTCAACTGAGAGATATTTGGTATATTGATAGTTTATGCAATATTGGTGTAGTGGTAGAGCGTTTTGTAAGCAAGGAAGGTTGGGTTCAATCATATTTTTAATAATAAGTTGTAGTCATTTCTTTGTTCTGCACTTGCCATGTTTTCCATCATTTTCTTGTCGTGTTCGTTTAGGCAGTTAGACTTTTGTGCTCGGTTGCTCACTTTGGTTTTATTTCAGGATTAGTGATTATATTAATTTGTTTGGATATTTTTTATTCAAATCCAACTTAAATTTGCTACCACCAATATAAATTTGCTATCCTTAACTTAAATTTGCTTCCTACAATATACAGTGGGCAAAAAAACAAATGGCACATGAAGGTTTTTTGAAGTTTTTTCTTTTTAACTTGTCCGTTTACTGATATTTTCTAAAAACTGTAAAACATTTAAATGTACGTAAATGAGTACTATTATAATGAAGATTTTTATATGTATTTGTGCGTGTCAGATAGTTAGACCTACAAAAATCTTGAACAACTAAATTGTTCTGCAAAAAAAAACATCTATTAAAAAGTGAAACTAATTTTCAGATAACTTACTGAGGTCTGAACTGTTTTCAATTCCGATTATAGTCTTTTTTATTTTCAACCGATTTATAACGTTTTCATTTTCAATTGATTTATTTTTCGACCTTTTTTTATATATTTTCATTTTCAACCCATTTGATATAAATTATTATTATTATTTTTTTTTTTAATTAACAATCAATAAGTTTTGCAAGCATTCATTGAATTTTATACCTCCCGATTCTGAAGACAGCGCTTTATTCACTGTGCCAAGGCTGATCAAATTTGGCTCAATTCAAATCAACAACAAAATATACAAAATACATATCAGAAAGGCGTAGTTAAAAATTGAAAATACAGGTCAAAAATACAGTAGGTCAACGATTTAGTAGGTTGGAAAATTAGTAGTACATGTTTTAATTAGGTGTAAATATAAAAATCAAAAATTGTCGGTTGAAAATCAAAAACGTCATAATCTACGTTTTATGATATTTCAAAATTAGTTTCAGTTATAGGTCTCTGTAATTGTGCATGATTTTACCAAACGATTATTGTTTTAATAAAAAGTAAAAACACACAGGTGTTATAATGGAAGCAAAATAATTATTAGCACAAATATTTTACTTAGTATTTTTTGAAAGTTTTGTGGAGAAAAAGTAAAACTTTGGTAAGTTTACGCCTAAAATTATATTTACACATGTAACACATAAGATATTGATTAATTGAATAAAATTGATTAATTTATAGCAACATAGCAACATTAATTTATAGCAACAATATCTCAACGAAACTTAGTTGTGGATTTGGTAAACAATGGTAAGATATACAGAGAAGATAGTAAGCAGACTGGAATCCCTTTTCGAACAGTCGGCAGCATTATAAATAGACATAATTTGAATGGAACTGCAACTGATATTGCAGGAAGAGGCCTTAAAAGAAAAAAATTCTGCTGCCATTTATCCAAACATTATTTTACAAGTCAAGCAAAACAGATTTGAAGCTGCTTAAAAGATTGCAGACAAAAAACAACTACAAAATCTTGGATTTCTGCTATCCGAAATAAAAACCGAGAGCAAGATTACTTGGTAAAGTATGCAGCAAAAAACTTTTGACTTTTTTTCTCAAAGACATGAAAAGAAGATTATTTTCAAAAAAGTGAGCATATCTATCTAAAAGTATGTGAGCATGCCTATCGAGCACTAGAAGAACGTTTTTGTGAGTGATGAATCCAAGTTTAACCTGATCTCATCGGATGGACAGCAAAAAGTTTGACAAAAACAAGGCAAGGCATACAAGTTAAGTTGCATAAGAGGAACAGAAATGTCATGATGTGGTGATCAATAGTTAGGAGTTGGCAAAATAACTTTCATTGAATCAACTATGGAAACCAATTAATGTATAGAAATTTTTAAACAAAATTTGAATTCCTCTGCTCGTAAATATAGGTTAGGACAGTGCCGGCCTTAGGGGGGGGGGAAGTTGGGCGCCAGGAAACTGGGGCGCCAAACGTTGTATGCAAAGTTTAACAGTATAATAAATAGAAAAAATAAGTCAACCTAAATTTTTTCGATTTTTTGTTATTTTTTCGAATGTTTGTTTTTTTTATAAAAATAATTTCTTTAAATTATTTATTGTATTATTACACTGTTAAAAATTCTTTATGCAAAATTAATAATAATTTGAAATTTTAAATTAATTTTTTTAAATTAATAATTTGATTAAAAGTGTTTCAATCATAGCATATATTTTGTTACTTAAATTTATTTTTTTACTTGAATCTTTCTCGGCGCCAATTATTTTGCGTTCCATTTATTTAAAGTTTAAATTTTAAACATTATTTTCGGTACGAGTTGCGAGCGCGTTGTTTATTAATTTGTAGAAGAAATTTAAAGTTGTATTTGTGATTCAAATTCAGTTTTTGTCAAGTTTTCAAATTTTGCGGTAATAAAAAGCAGGTAAGTATAAATAATGAAATTGTTTATGAATTATTAGCTTGCGAGTAATTTTTTATTTTAAAATTTTAGACTTATAGAAACTGTCAGGAGCAATCAATGGAGAGTACTCACAATAAAGAAAAAAATGTTTTTAAAACTCATAATAATAAGAAACCATCTGGTGCTCAATACAGAAAACGTAAAGCAGAAAAAGTTGATAATTTGAAGAAAAGTTATAAAAAACTTGAAAATTTTTTTACATCGGAAAACAGTGATGGTAATAAAATAAAGGAAGGAGAAAATGTTGCGCATGTTCTTAGTGATTCATCAACCAGCGATGAAGAAGACGGAGTAGTGTCAGTTGGAAATGTTCACTACGATGAAAAAGATATCGATAACGAAAATGATAATGGCCAAGATGGTGATGTAAATGATCGCACCAAAGAAACAGCAATCGATTACTCAGACTGTGGTTTGTGGCCAATTCATCGCAACATTCAATTTGTTGATTATGTAATTAATATAGGTGCAATACAAGTGAATTTGGACACATATCCACGCGATAATTGAAGACGAATTTTTCAAATGCTTATTACAACCAAAAACTTTCAAATGGTGAGGTTATTTTACGATGTTGGCTTGTGTACTCAGTTTCTAAAAATGCGGTATTTTGTTTTTGCTGCAAACTTTTTGATTTCAACATGAATTTAAAGTTAAACGGAAATGGATTCAATAAATGGAAGAATTTAACAGAAGCATTGAAAATTCACGAAAATAGTAAGTCACACAGAATTGCTTATCAACTATGGATTGAGACAGAAATACGAATGAAAGCTGGTGAAACTATTGAAAAACAAGAACAAAAACTAATCGAAAAGGACAGTTTAAGGTGGCGAAGTGTTCTTGAACGATTGATGAACATTACTTTATACTTGGCAACAAATAATATGGCCTTCAGAGGTTCTTCTGATAAATTGTATGCAGTTAATAACGGCAAATTTTTAGGATTGGTACAATTACTCGCTAAATTTGATCCTATCATGTTAAACCACGTCACGCTAGCTCTTAAAGGAGATATTTCTGATCATTACTGTGGAAAAACCATTCAAAATGAAATGATAGATATAATGGCATCAAAAGTAACCAACATAATTATATCCAAAGCTTTAAAAAGTACATATTATTCTATTATTGCTGACTGCACTCCTGACGTATCTCACAAAAAATATATCAGAATATCCTATAAAAATAAATGAACACTTTCTTGGGTTTTTCAATGTTAACGACACGACAAGTCTTGGTTTAACAGAAATCATAATTGGAGATTTAAAAGATTTTGGACTGAATATAAGCTTTTGTCGAGGGCAAGGTTACGATAACGGTGCAAATATGTAAGGTAAAAAAATAGGTCTACAAAAGCGAATATTAGATTTGAATCCTTTGGCTTTTTACCTTCCATGTGGAAGTCATTTTCTCAATTTGGTTATTTGTGACGCAGCGCAGTCTTCACTAAATTCCATTAAGTTTTTGCCATAATACAAAGGTTATTCACATTATTTTCTGCATCAACTTCACGCTGGAATGTTTTACTTAGTCATACAACAAACTTCACTCTTAAACGATTATGCGACACTCGTTGGGAAGCCAAAATTGAGAGCCTCAAAGCCATCCGATACCAAATAAGCAGTGTACATGATGCTTTAATTACTATATATGAAACTGAAACCAAAACTCCCGATATTGCACACGAAGCGCAAACATTAGCAGAACAATTAAAAGACTATAGTTTTTTAGTTTCTTTAATTGCATGGCACAATGTACTATTCCAAATAAAACGTTGTTAGTGAAGCAATGCAAGCCAAAGACATTGATCTAGTACAGTGCGCTGAAATGTTGAAAAAAGACATCACATTTTTGGAAAATTACAGAACGTTTGGCTTTAAACAAGCAACGGTTGATGCCAAAGAGTTAGCTGAAGAGTTAAACATCGATGCAATATTTAAGCCGCTTAAAAGAGTGCGACGAGTGAAACGTCATTATGATGAAAATGCTGCTGACGAACCAATTTAAAATCCCGAGAAGAAACTTGAAGTGACATTTTTTAACCTTTTATTAGATACATGTCTGTCGTCAATAAATGAAAGATTTGAACAACTTAATGAATATGTAAATATATGGAGTTTTTTATTTAATTTGGATAATTTGCCCATCAAGAATGAACTTTTAAAATTGTGTAAACAATTACAAGAAAAATTAACTGTAAATACAAAATCAGAAATTAATGGTGCTTTGCTATGCGACGAACTAATAAGTGTGCAGTTTTTTATTAAAGATAAATTAAGCAATGTTGAAAATGAAATAAATACAAAAGAGATGACACCACTTTTTGTACTGAATTTTATTAAAAAACATTGTCTACAAGAGTTATATTCAAATACATGGATTGTTCTGCGCATTCTTGTTACAATACCTGTTACTGTTGCTAGTGGAGAACGTAGTTTTTCTAATCTGAAGTTAATCAAAACATATTTAAGAAATACCATGTTGCAAGATCGACTTAATTCTCTATCTGTGTTATCAATCGAGCAAGATATAGCTGAGAATTCAGATTTTTCTAGTTTGATAAGAGATTTCGCGGACAAAAAAGCTAAAAAAGTTAGATTTTAAAATTTAATAAGTCTTGTTTATATAGTTAGAGGATTTATTACATGTTTAATAAAAACATTTGTTATTTTAAAAGCAGCGTTGCGTTGTCTATTTAGTCACTCATTTCTATAAACCCATATCATGAAAAGTCTAAGTTTATAATTTTAATAAAAAATTAATTAAATAAGAAACTTGATGTACAATATGGATCTCTTTGCATTAAACTATATATTTCCTTTAGCACTCTTGTTCATTATTTTAGAGCATTGGTCTCGTTGTTAATGGTAACAACCCACCCATATATACTTAGGGGCGCGTTCACAGGTTTTGCCCAACCTGTCAAAAAAGCTAAGGCCGGCGCTGGATTCGGAAATAGTTATCTTTTTCAATAGGGCAATGACCCATACTGCCATAGCAACATAAGAATATTTTTGATAGAATGATATTAATGTGATGGAATGGCCAGTCTGTTCTCCTAACCTTAATTCCATTGAGCATTTGTGGTACATTCTAGACCGAAAAGTTTAAGATCGAGTTTACAGGCAAAATAATCTAACAGCAACCATAGTCAAAGCATGGGAGAAAATAACTCTAGAAGAAACAAAATTTCTGGTGAAATTGATGTCCTGACGTCTGCAAGCAGTTATTCTGACAAAATTTGCCGACTAAATATTGAAATGTAGTTTTTAAATAATTTTTTCCTTTAAAAATAAAAATTACCTCAATTTTTTAATCATTTTATACAAATTAAAAAAAAAAACTCTTGTGCTATTTTTTTTCCTACTGTAAATTTGCTTATTTTTCATTTACAGAAACCACACTAATGAGCTTTTAGTTGATTTAATTACAAGTTAATAATATGGACACAGGCTTTTGGTATATTATTCTATCGTGAGATATTTTGTATATTGATAACTTATGCAATAGTGGTGTAGTGGTAGAGCGTTTTGTTAGTAAGGGTTTCATCATTTTTTGTAAGCAAAACTGAGTTCATGTTGCTGATAGGACAGTGGAATTTAATTTATTTTTAATAATTAAAGTTTTTTTTAGTTCCTAAAAAACATTGAATTTTGATTCTTTTTTATCGTAAGCGAGTTTTAATGGATTTTTAGAATTTTATGATATATAAATTATACTTGTTATGTTATTTTTATAGTATATGATTTATTTTAAAATTAATTTTTTATTGATTTTAAAAATCAATTTTTTTTTTTTTTTAGAAATATTTGTAAATTTTATATTTGATGTTTTCTTTTTCTATTAGAAAATGGAATTGCGTTCAGAGCTCTTGTTTGGGTTTTGTTTATGTTTGTTCCTGCATTTATGATTATTACAGCTTTGATTTTTTGTTTTCTTACTCGATCAAGGTCCAAAGGATTTGTTTTGACTGTATGGCAGTATTGGAAAAAAAGAAATTATAGTGAAGGCTCAAAATCCTCAAACAGTTTAAGTTAAACGTTTAAAATCTGAATTTGAACGAAGAATTTATAGTGAAGGTTTAAAATCGTCAAACAGTTTTAATTAAGTCTCGACACTAAAGATCTAAATTTGAACGACAAAAGTTTTTTTGTTTTTAATAATCAAAATTATTAATTATTTCCATGATTTCATTTATTATTAATTATTTGATCATTTTGCTTTGAAAAAATGTTTATTTCACGATTTCAACTTACATATTTATAATATGTGAATTTAAAAATTGATAAAAGTATGTGAATATTTTTCAATGTCTAAATTTTTTAGTTTAAGACACTTAAATTTTTCTAAATATGGGACAGTTTAATTTATGACATTATAAAAATATTTTGTTTAAATATGTCGAGGACGGATTTGTGATTATATTAACTTGTTTTGATTCAAATAATGCCGTTATAGGTGTGTATCAAATGTAAAATTATGATCCGGTATTTTAAGGGTTAAACGCAACCGAATCAAACGAGTACAAAATAAAAAGTATAGAGTTGAAAGCTACATGAACTTTTTCGTTTTTACTCTTTAACCATAAATTTTGATACGCATATATATAAATATATTTTTTAATTTTAAAATAATGAATGAATAAAAACGTAAAATTAAAAAAACCACATCAGCTGATGTGTGCTGGCTATAAGATCAGACATTTTGACTTTTTACAAATCAAATTATAAACAAGATGTTTAGAACAAAATTTAATGGGATAAAGCTTGTGTTGGATAAATATGAGCTGTGGCTAGCCATAAAAATGGTAGAATCTGACACAACATCTTCAAATACAGAAATAAGAATGGGTGTGGTTACACTGTTACAGAAATGTTTCAAAACCATTGGACTAGAAAAACCTACTTTTATAGAATGCCAACACCATATTTTAGACTCTTTTAAAACATGTCATGAATGATCTTTTTGAAAGATCAACAACATCACCAAGTCTTCATTACCCTTTTGTGACGAGATTACTGCACGAGAACCTGAAGTATTTATTTCAGAATACTGGAATACGAAAGTGAACTGGACACGCTGGCGCGATGACACGGACTTCCTGCATCACTTACTATACTATAGTAAATTTAAAAGCACAGGTATCTTTTCAAAAGTGAATCTCAAATCACTTCTTGCTATAAAAAATGCAAGATGGAATTCGAGAGCAATTTTTGTTCTACTTGCTTTTATTCTAATACGAGACTATCAAGAATCCAAATCTACTCAAACAGCATGCGACTTCATCTGTAGTTCATGGAGTAATATATGGTTTGCTGATCACTACTTCAATCTTGTAGATTTTTTTAAATCTATTAGAAGCATGCAATGAGCATCCAAAAGCATTAAAATTGTTGAAGGAATTTAGGTCCGCACAGCAAATACCGATTCCAACACAACGGTCAAGTATATATGCAGAACGTGCGGTAAAACTGGTGCAAGATTTAATGCCTTTATGTCATAGCATAGAAAAACTTAACATTAAACACTTGTTGTCAAATGCACTGTGAAATTATTTTAGTTCTTCATGTTTATTGGTTTTCTGTAAAATACTGGAACATGTGTCTCAAAATTACATTTCTTCCATAAATCTTCTTTTTAAAAAAGAGGTAAACTTTTTTGAGATATTGTATAAATGTTTAATATTTTCTTGATTTTTGCATAAAAACTCCTCTAAATTGAGTATGGGGATACAGGGTTGCAAAATTATCATACCACTAATATATACGCACGCACACACACACACACACACGCACACACATGGAACCAAGTTTTGCATCCGACGCATTGAATCCAATTATTTTATAATTTTATCGTTGTAAAAGAGTTAGCAATCATCACAAAACGTATATTCGTCATTCTTACTTCTCTTTTTCGATGGTTTTCGAGTTTTTTTCAAATGTTGTTTGTGTCGATTTTTGTATGACTTGGCCTGGGCGTTTCAGTTATTTTATCCGCAACTATATTTCGATCAACAACAATAGCTTGCACATTTAATGATCTTCTAGTTTTTACTTTTCTAATTATTATAGGAATTATTGAACGGATACTAGATGCAGGGTCTGATAGGGTTCTTTCGACAGTCATTTTTGAGTTAACTGATGCAATTAGCGCAGTAACTTAAATAATATTTACACTCTACACTGTATAGAACAATTGCGAATGATTCAAAACCAGAGTAAAATGGGCGAAAGTTCAAAAAATATGATGTTTTATAACTAAAAGATGATTTATCTTAGAAGTTATCTTATCAACTTATCAAAAGATTTTGATAAGTTACGCTTTACGCAACTTATCAAAAGATTTTGATAAGTTGCGTTTTTACTTTTTTTAAACTAAAAACATTATCTTTGCGAATGATTTATACGACGATGATTTATTTATTTTTAATGGACCTGACTCTCCATACTTTGATACTAAAACTTTTAAGCTGAACTTCATAACAATATAGACGAGTTTACGGTAATACACATAAACATCAGGAGCTTAAATACAAATATCGATAAGTTAAAAATTTTCCTTTTCGAATGCAAATATTCCTTTAGCATGATTTGTCTTACAGAAACTTGGTGTTCTGACGAAAATTCTTATACAAACTCAAATCTCTTAATCCCTAATTATAATCTTATTTCTAATGAAAGAAAAGCTAACAAAAGAGGAGGTGGAATAATAACCTACATCCATAATGACTTAAACACAAAAATTAGAAATGATCTCTCTATTTCTGATTCAAATAGTGAGGTCTTTACAGTTGAAGTCATTAATGATACTACAAAAAATCTCTTAATATCCTCTTGTTATAGACCGCCCGATGGAGATATTATAATGTTGCAACACGTGTCAATAACACGTGTCAATAACTTGAAAATAAAAATCATCAAAAGAAGCATAAATAAATTCTCGACCCAAAAACTAAAAGACTCACTAGCGGTAGTAAATTGGTCAAAAATATATCATGAATGTAACCTCGGACGCACAAATTCCGCTTACAATAAGTTTATGAATATTTTCCTAAATCTCTACAATAAACATTTTCCAAAGGTCGAAAAAGAAATTAAAGCAAAATACCTAACCACTCCATGGATTACCAAAGGAATAAGAAAATCGTCAAAACAAAAACAAAAACTCTACATAAAATATCTAAAAAATAGAAACCATATTAAATTGTCTAAGTATAAACAATATAAAAATCTATTTGAAAAAATAAAATTAAAATCCAAAATATTATATTTTTCAAAGCAAATACAAAAATTTAAAGGAGATAATAAAAAAATCTGGGATATTGTAAAAGAAATAATTGGTAAAGATAAAAAAAACTCGAACCAACTACCTCCAAAAGTTCTCATAAGTGAAAAAGAGTTTAATAATAAAAAAATAGTCTCTGAAAAATTTAACAAATACTTTGCAAGTATAGGTTCCAAACTCGCCTCTAAAATTCAACCTACAAACAATTCATTTGAGAATTACATCAAAGACTCTCGTTGCTCCCTAGTTTTTAAAGAACTAGAATACGAAGAACTTGAAACAGCAATTAAAACATTAAAAATTAACAAAGGTCCAGGTATCGACAATATCTCAGCCAATATTATTTTGAATGTCTTCCCAGAAATAAGTAAACCCATTTTTCAAATATTTAACTTTTCAATAATTAAAGGAATTGTACCCGACTATTTAAAAATAGCTAAAATTATTCCTATTTATAAATCCGGAGATACATCTTCCTCAAATAATTACAGACCAATATCAATCCTTCCCGTATTTTCAAAACTGCTCGAACGAATTATCTACAATCATTTATATAAATACCTAACCACAAACAATATCCTGAATGAAAAACAATATGGTTTTCAAACTCAGCACTCGACAGAGCATGCTATCGTAGACCTCGTCAATAGAATTAGTGAATCAATCTATGAAAAGAAGTTCGTATTAGGAGTCTTTGTAGACTTGTCAAAAGCGTTCGACACAATAAATCATGAAATCCTACTAAAAAATTTGGAAAAATACGGATTAAAAAACCATACACTGCAGTGGTTTAAAAGTTACCTGTATAACAGACAACCGTGTGTTATTACAGATGATAATTACCACAGTAAATTATTAAAATTAACTTGTAGTGTTCCTCAAGGTTCGATTCTTGCTCCTTTTTTGTTCCTAATCTATATAAACAACCTTCCGAAAATTTCTAGCAAACTTGAATTTATAATGTTTGCAGACGATACAAATTTATTTTACTGTTCGACAAACATCAAGGATCTGTATGATAATGTAAACATAGAACTACAAAAATTAAATATATGGTTTAAAACAAATAAGTTATCCCTAAACATAGAAAAACAAAATACACTTTATTTCACTCAAAGAAACACACTACCAAATATTCTACCCTCTCTAAAAATAGAAAATTGAGAGAACTCGCGAAACTAAATTTTTAGGAGTTATAATTGATGAAAATTTATTTTGGAAAAGTCACATAAATGCTTTAAACACTAAAATATCAAAAAACATAGGTCTACTTTATAAAGCAAAACCTAAATTTTTAGGAGTTATAATTGATGAAAATTTATTTTGGAAAAGTCACATAAATGCTTTAAACACTAAAATATCAAAAAACATAGGTCTACTTTATAAAGCAAAACCTATGCTGTCGCAAAGTAATTTAAAACTACGCAAAGTAATTTAAATATTTCTCTTTTATACATAGCTACCTCATATATGCGAATATAGCTTGGGCGAGTACGCATATAACCAAATTGAAAACTTTATATCGACGTCAGAAACATGCTGTAAGACTAATCTACCATAAAGACAAATTTACACACACTGAACCCTTATTTAAAGAAATGAATGTGCTTAATTTATCAAATTAATATTTATCAAATTAATATATTGTTAATGCTAAAATTTAAATTAGGTCAAGTACCAAACTATTTTTTAAATAACTTTTTTGTAAATAACGTTAATAAATATAGCACAAGAGAAAAAGGAAACTTTATTACACCTTTCAAAAAAACAAAACTTTCCCAGTTCTCAATTTCATATCGGGGTCCTTATTTATACAACAAACTAGTAACTAAAAATAAATCAATTTGCAATCTAGATTCAATTTGCAATCAAAATTCCTTGAAAAAAAAGTTAAAAAATCTGATACTGAATCTAAACATATACTCAGAATTCTTCTAAGACTATAAATTAAAATACATATATATCAACTACAAAGTGAACTGACTCGTTTATGTGTATAATCTAAATGACTCTTACCTTTCTCAAACAATATATCAAAAATTGTTTATTACTCACAAAAAAAACACTTGATTTTTTCTTATCAAGTTTAGTTATTATGCTGCTTGTTATGTCTAATATTTTATACTGAGCTTATTTTGAGTTTATTTTTTATTATGAGTTTAATTTAAAGAATATATAAATATAGTTGTACTAATATATAATTATATTTAACATATTTATAATATATATCAAACACATTGAAAGGGCTTCGTGATAAGATCATTACGATCTTTTTGAAGTCCGGCCTGTACTATTTAATTATAAATTTCACTATATATTTTGACTCACGAGACTTGTAAATATTACAACTTTTAATTTACGAAACTTGTAAATGTTATATGTACAGCAAATATATGAATAAAAAAATAAAAAATAAAAAAAAGTTCTGACAATGTTTCCTAAATTGCGTCTAAAAATATTCTTTAAGCCAACTTTAAAAAATGAAATGGCGGTATAAGCCGCCGGCAGTATTAAACTACTTTACCCAGTATTAAACTTCTTTACCAGTATTAAACTACTTCACATAGATGAATTTCAAAGTGACGTCGCGCGTTCACATTTTTTCGGACGCGAAGGACACTGGCAGGATAGAAAGAAAACACGCAAAAGAAAATGTGGAATGAATCTGATTACTTTTTAACATTAGAAGAAAACAATAAAGATGCATATAAAAAAAATTAACTTTGTCATAACTTTGTCAAATGGAATGTTACTCCCTGACCCTTTCGTACTTGAAAATTGGAAAAACGACGTTTCAATGATGCCCGACATTACATGGGGTGACATGTACAATTACCTTATTAACTCCCCAAGTAACTTTACACACGATTCAATGAAAGCCTATAAACCATTGGAATCGTACAACTTTTACATTTGTGGGCATGTTCAAGATGTATACTATAATTTAATTGAAGAAACGAATGAATTTTGTTTCATTAAATCTGAGGTAATTTTGCATATTACAAAGTAAAGTTTACCGTCAAAGTGCAAAAAAAAAGTGTTTGAAAAGTTAAAACCATAAAATTTATTTTGAGTAAAATGTAAAATGATATACGTTTTTACTTATTTATTCAACTTTTAATTTATTAAAGGTGCTTCCAAGTCAAAGACAAGGAAAGAAGCAGAAATGTTACGAAGTGTGGGTTGCAATAAATAAAGTTAATGGGTGGATTTTAACGGCAAATTGCAAATGCATGGCAGGGTAAGTACATTAATTAAATAATTTAATTCTAATTTTATTTTAAACAAGTATTTTAAGAAATTTAATTGGTTATACATTTTTGAAACTATAGATTGGGCTCTGTGTGTAGTCACATCGGTGCTTTGTTGTTTAAGCTTGTTGCGTGTGCACAGCTCGGTTTAAATAAAATATCTTGCACAAGCACATTGTGCAGTTGGAAAAAATCACGCAAATCAGCAACCCCAGCCCCACTAAAAAAAATAAACTTTTCCCGACCAAAGAAGCGTGAAACTCTTCCAAATATTAGTGACAATGAAAACTCACAGGATGAAAGACCTTACAGCTTTAAGGATCCTACACCAACTTCAGATAGTAAAAAAAAAAAAGTTGCTAGAACTAAAAAAATTGTATAAGAATGCTGCAGTTCTTCAGTCTGTAGACATTAAAAATGAAAGCAAAGAACATTGTAGTGATACAGATACTGCGGAGGAGGATGACAGTTACAATGAATATAATTTGCCGGAACCACTTACTTCACTATATTTCCCTGCATCAATTAATTTAGATGATTCCACCTTAACAAAATATTGCGCAGAATCATACGAGGAGTACAAAATCACTCAAAGTTTTAACATGTACAGCAATTTACTTAAAGTTACAAAAATTCAAAGCGCTAGTAGAATCTGGAAGTTGCACAGGGCAGGTAGAATAACAGCATCGTTATCAAAAACTGCGTACAACATAAAAGTTGATAAATACCCTAAGTCGTTTATAAACACAGTGATGCAATACAACGCAGAATTCATTACAAAACCTACGAGTTATGGTAAGAAAATGGAGACTGTAGCAATAAATTCTTACAAGCAATTTGTCGCGAAAACACATACAAATATAGTTGTTACAGAAACTGGATTGCATGTTCTTCACAAAAATCCATGTCTTGGTGCTTCACCTGATAGTATGGTGTGTTGTGATTGTCATGGTTCCGGTGTAGTGGAAATTAAGTGCCCATATAAGTATAGAAATGGGTTAGAAAATTGGAAAACAGATACGGATTTTCCTGTAAATTTTGACAATACGGTAAAGAAAACACACCAGTATTACTTTCAAGTGCAGCAAGAAATGTATATTACTAATACTACATACTGCCATTTTTACATTTGGACCGAAGGAAAAAATGAAAATGATACAATGTTAATTAATGTTCCGATTGATAGGGTCTTTTGTGAAAAACTGGAAACAAAGTTGACAACAATATTTTTTAAATTTTTACTACCTGAAATAGTGTCTAGAAAAAATGATCCTAACAACCTTTTGAGCGATCAAACATACTGCATTTGCAAACGTCCAAGTTTTACACCAATGATTGGATGCGACGGAAAAAACTCCAAAATAGAATGGTTTCATTACAGTTGTATTGAAATAAAAAATGCCCCTAAAGGTAAATGGTTCTGCAAGGAATGCATATAAATAAACTAAAGAATATATTATATTTATTAAATATCTTACTTTGTCAACGACATTTTGGCACTTTTTTCAGAAATAAAAAATCAATAAACTGTTAACAATTCTTATTATTTAGTAATATAAAATTTACTACTCTCGAGTCTTTATTAGAAGGGTAGGGGGGATTTCTATTAAATTTTTGAAAACTTTCCCACCTACCTTAAGCTTATTAAGACCACTCTGTTTATTAATTTTCACTTGTTATCAACAAAAAGTTTCTAAAACTATCGAAACTAAAAAAAATAATTCAGTGAAAATCGGCCTTATAATTTACAAAATATATACTAGTAACTAATAAATAATAAAACTTTTAGTATAAATTCTCACCCCCTACTTTTATTAGATCTTGACAAACCACCCCCTTCCCCTTGTATTAAAGACTCGAGAGTACTTGAGACAATCCAAATGTAAGATAATACAAAATAAAGTTAAAATAAAAAGGTTTTTCACTCCTATGAGCTTGGAGGAACAACACTACTGTTAATATTTACTAATGAAGTTTTTGTTACCATAACATCATCAAGTAAATCAACTTGAGTTAATGGGATAATGTTCTGAAGAATTCGAAATTTTCTTAACCGTCCAATTACCCTTTCAACATGGATTCTTACATGTGCAATTTGACGTGATTCATCAACTTCAGCAGAAGACATCTGCTTTTTTCCTTTGGTAAACTTTGGTAATTTTAAAATCCCACCTTTTGTAGCAAATTCTTAAACAAGTGTAAATCCTCTATCAGCAAGTACACAATCTCCATGGGTTATTTTTTCTAAAAATGCAGATTTAATTGTAATTTCTTTATCTGAAACTCTACCACCCCATCCAGGGGATAAAAAACTTACAGCACCTGATGGAGTTATACCAATGAGATATTCAATTGTGTTGTTGTTTTTATAATTTGACCAAGTTTGAGCTCGAGCATGAAGACTAAAAGGTCTTTCAATGAGTATTTCCATGCAATCAATTATTGCAACACAATTATAGAACTTTTTGCGAAAACTTATTGGCAAATTTCTTCGTAAAACATGCTTTTCTGGCCAAACAATTAAAAACTTAACATTTTCAGCAATAATTGGAAGCCAAGATCTATATATTCTAGTGACTGTTGGCTCAGAAAAACCAAATCTAAAGCTCAAGTCTTTATTTAAAAATCCAAGTTTGATTTTCATTAATATTAGCAATAAATGGTCTTCCATTGGTATATTTTTCATTGGTTTTACACAATCATTATACAATGATAAATACCACAAAAATAAATTTGCATTTGGCAAACCAGTATAAAATATATATATATATATATATATATATATATATATATATATATATATATATCATATATATATATATATCATATATATATATATATATATATATATATATATATATATATATATATATATATATATATATATATATATATATATATATATATATAGTCTTGCATGTCTCTTGCGTAGCATCAAAAAATATTTCCCATAAACTGTAGTTTTAAAGAGCGCGTTAATAAACCAGACCAGAAAAAGTTTTAAAAATTAAATTTTTTTTTTTAATTGATAGACTGCCTGGCCAAACCAAACCCTCAGTCGATGTAGCAGCACTCTCTTGCGAGTCAGGCTATTTGTCAGTCGTTGTAGCAGCACTCCCTTGCGAGTCAGGCTATTTGTCAGTCGATGTAGCAGCATTCCCTTGCGAGTCAGGCTATTTGTCAGTCGATGTAGCAGCACTCCGTTGCGAGTCAGGCTATTTGTCAGTCGATGTAGCAGCACTCTGTTGCGAGTCAGGCTATAAGATAGTCGATGTAGCAACATTTACGCATGTTTAAAAAATGTTTTTTATTAAATCAATAACAAAAACACCACTAATTAAAAAAAACTTTCTAGTCGTTATAATTGCGGTTTTTTAAAAATTTGTTAAAAAACAATTAAATTTAATGTACTTCCGCATAAATTAATTGCTTTGACATTTCGATGACAATCAAAAACAGCTTAAGAGACGAGGTAATTAAAATTGTAGTCGTAAGAGACTTTTTTTACATTAAAATGCTCTTAAAGCGACACTATATGAGTATATATATATATATATATATATATACATATATATATATATATATATATATATATATATATATATATATATATATATATATATATATATGATATATATATGATGTATATATATATATCATATATATATATCAAAATATATATATATATATATATATCATATATATATATATATCATATATATATATATATATATATATATATATATATATATATATATATATATATATATATATATATATATGATATATATATGATATATATATCATATATATATATATATATATATATATATATATATATATATATATATATATATATATATATATATATATATATATATATATATCATATATATATATATATATATATATATATATATATATATATATATATATATATATATATATATATATATATATATATATATATATATATATATATATATATATATATATATATATGATATATATATATGTTATATGTATATATATATATATCATATATATATATATATATATATATATATATATATATATATATATATATATATATATATATATATACTAGGTTGGTTGAAAAGTTCGCGGAGCGGCACCTATGTTGCAGTAGTAGAAACAAATTTATAACTGTATTAAACGTATTCATTCTTCGTATGAACGCATAAAAAATTTCAAGTCGATATGTCATTTCAGTCTTTGTTTACAAGCTATTGAAATTAGACGTGTCATAGTATTTTTTAAAATGGAAAATATTGAACATCGTGCTGTAATAAAATTCTTTGTGAAAAAAGGTTTAAAGCCCATGGAAATTCATAATGAAATGGTAAATGTGTTGGGTGATGATGCTCCTTCAAAAACAACAGTATGCAAATGGGCTGCGGAGTTTCAACGTGGGCGTTCAAGCCTTGAAGATGACCCTCGCTCTGGACGTCCAAAAAGTGCTACTACTGAAGAAACGATTAATGCTGTGCATGACATGGTTATGGATGATAGACGATTGACCAAACGTGAAATTGCTGAGGCTGTGGGCATCTCAGATGAACGGGTATTACACATCTTGCACGATGAATTACGTCTGAGAAAGCTGTTGGCAAGATGGGTGCCGCATTCGCTAACTCTGGATCAGAAACGCACTCGAGTAAAACTTTCTCAAGAACATTTGGCCCGTTTTCAAAAGAATAAAACAGATTTTGTGCGTCGATTCGTAACCATGGATGAGACTTGGGTTTACCACTATGATCCGAAGCTGCGACAACAAACTGCAGAGTGGACAGAACCCGGTTGTTCAGCTACGAAGCAAGTGAAGGCGTCAAAATCGTCAAAGAAGGTTATGGCATCAGTTTTTTGGGATGCGAAAGGAATTTTATTATTATATTACCTTCAAACCGGTAAAACGATAACAGGTGAATATTATAAAAATCTTTTGGACCAGTTGGATAAAAAAATTCGTGAGAAAAGACCTGGTTTGCTGCATAAAAAAATCATTTATCACCAGGACAACGCACCTGCTCATATCAGCGAAGTTGCAAAGGCGAAATTGGTCGAATTAAAGTACGAACGCTTGGAACATCCACCCTATTCACCAGATCTGGCTCCGTCCGACTTCCACCTCTTTCCACATCTCAAAAAATTTCTACGTGGAAAGCGTTTCTCATCACATGAAGAAGTCATTGCAGCCGTAAATGGGTATTTTGAAGGCCTTCCGGAATCGCACTTCAGAGATGGGATACATGAATTGGAGAATCGTTGGAAAAAGTGTATTGCTCTTAAGGGAGAATATACTGAAGAATAAAGTCATTTTTTGAATCATAAAATTGTTTTTTCATTTCCGCTCCGCGAACTTTTCAACCAACCTAGTATATATATATATATATAATATATATATATATATATATATATATATATATATATATATATATATATATATATATATATATATATATATATATATGTTTTTTTTTACTGCATTTTTTACAAAAAAGTAAAAATTGCAGTAAAAAAGATATATATATATATATATATATATATATATATATATATATATATATATATATATATATATATATATATATATATATATATATATATATATATATGATATATATATATATATATATATATATGATATATATATATATGTTATATGTATATATATATATCATATATATATATATATATATATATATATATATATATATATATATATATATATATATATATATATATATATATATATATATATATATATATATATATATATGTTTTTTTTTACTGCATTTTTTACAAAAAAGTAAAAATTGCAGTAAAAAAGATATATATATATATATATATATATATATATATATATATCTTTTTTACTGCATTTTTTACTTTTTTGTTGCAATATTCAACAAACTTAGTACAAAGTATAATAAAATATTTTAAATTAATAATAATCTCTAAGCAATTTAACTTGTAGGATAATTTTTTTTATAATAATTTTAGTTTTTAGTTATGTTAATATTGATTAGATTTATCTGACTTACTAAATATTTACAGTTAAACAAAAACTGCAAAGTGTAAAATACAAATAACTTTTCGAAAGGAATGGCGTTAAATCTGGAACATCTTTAACACATAAACTAATGAAGGAAACAGTTCTAAAAGTAGTTCTATATTATATTTGCAGGTTGATCATTATTTGTGCCATGCTTTTGTGACATAATTATTATAGATTTTTTGCTAAAGTATACATAGCAAAAGTTTTATCTGCAGCCAGTTTTTGCACAACTTATGTTAAAGAATTGTGCAAATCTTGTATTGAAGCTATTTTAAAAATTACCAACTCTTGTTTGTGAACGACAATGGATGAAAATGAAGCTGGGAGATCACAAATGCTATAATTGGAATATAACATTAAGAGCAAGAAATCAAACAAAACATTTTAGACAGATAAACATGTGCAATTTTATGGAAAATTTTTTGGGAATTATTATGTTTTTTATTTCTGCTACACCATACAAAGTGCAGCAGAAATAAAAAGCAAAACAAAGACATTTCGTTTTTTATTTCTGTTACACCATAGCAGTTTTTTTATTTCTGCTACACCATAGCAGCAAGAAATATATTTTGTTACACTACATTATCTACTTGTTAATATAAGACTGCTTTGTATTAAAATATAATAATACCTAATATATTTTATTCACAATTTTACAAAATATATTACAAATATATTTATATAATACAAATATAATATATTACAAAATATATTACATAATATTACAAAAAGGGGTTCCCCAAGGTTCAATCCTTGGCCCTATACTCTTTTTAATTTACATTAACGATCTTCCAGATATTCTCACATCTAAGGTGGCATTGTTCGCTGATTATACTACCATTTATTCTTGTCACGATAAGAAGCCAACTCTCCTGATTGCTTGCAGGGGGC